ACGTGTCGTCGACGCGGGGAAGTGGGTAGACGTCTTTCTTCGTCACCGCGTTCAGCTGCCGGTAGTCCACGCAGAACCTAAGCGTTCCGTCCTTCTTCTCAACCACTACGACTGGAGAAGCCCAAGGACTGCTTGATGGCTGGATTATGTCGTCGTTCAGCATCTCTTGGACTTGCTTCTGGATCACCTCCCTTTCTTTGACGGAGACTCTGTACGGCGATCGATGCACAGGGCGCGCGTCGTCCTCGGTAAAGATTCGATGCTTCGCAACGGCAGTTTGGCGCACCCTCGACGACGTCGCAAAGCAGTCGCGGTATTCGGTGAGGAGGTTAATCAGCTGTCGTCATTTTGGGCCCGGAAGCTTAGGGTCAATGTCAAGCTGCGCGGGCGACTTACTGCCTTGCTGAGGTGGTGATGATTCTTCAGCAATCGCGGCGATTTCGGCGGAGTTCCGAAGTTTCTCGACGTGGCCCACAGCGGCACCTTTTGTGAGGTGTTGCGTTTCATTTCGGAAGTTCGTCACGAGGACCACAGTCCGCCCATCTTGAAGTTCAGCTACTCCTCTTGCGACGCCTATTTCTCTTCCCAGGAGCAATTGAAGGTTGCCTTCCCGGACAACTTCGCCGCAGGTAGCTGTATCGGCCACGACGGGTACGACAACACTTGATCGCGGTGGCAGGTTCACGTGATCGGCAGCGACTCGGATGGCGGCTGACGCAGTTTGGGGTTTCTCTGAAGGTGGCACAGGGGTTCGCAGCGTCAATCTGTTTTCACGAAGGTCGATGACGGCGCCGTATTCAGACAGAAAGTTCATGCCGAGAATGACGTCCCTGGCACAGTCTTGTAGAATGACAAATTTCACAGGGCACGTCTCCCCATGGATCTTGACGCGAGCGGTGCATCTCCCGACTGGAGTGATGAGATGCCTTCCGGCGGTTCGTATTTGAGGTCCATCCCACAAGTCGTTACCTTTCGCAGGCGGCGAGAGAGGCTCCCACTCAAGACTGAGTAGTCCGCTCCGGTGTCCACGAGTGCCGATGCGTCGAGGCCGTCAATAACAACGTTTAGGCTGTTGGGTACCGTTGCAGGGACGTCGGTACGATGCTGGGCTTCGGTAGAGTGGGAGCGCTCCGGCGTTCTTGGAGGCTGTTTGCTTCCGTCGTTTTCGGCAACGTCACCTCCAGGCGTTGCCGCACTTAGTTTTCCCGGCGACGCAGGGGAGATAGGCTCTCGCGGCGGGGTCGTTGCGCTGGGGACGCTGAACGTCGTGGCGATGGGGAGCGGGCTTCACGGCGGAGAGACGACACTGGGGAGGGCGAGCGTCGGAGGTACTTTTCAATGTCGCGAGGGCGTTCGTCGTATCTTGGGCGCGGGTCGCTCGGGTGGAACCCGCGCAGCCCCAGTTGTCTGTAGGGGCATCGACGGTAAATGTGGCCGGCTTCACCGCAGTGATAGCACAGGGGTCGTCGATCCGCTGTCCTCCACACGTCGGTCTTTCGTGGCGCTGCCTGTTCTGGGTGGGCGTGCGCCCGATCTTCCTGGCGTCGGGGAAACTGCGGCGTTGGAGATTCACGTCGGGGTGGCGCGGTGTACGGGTGAGCAGGGGGCGGGGGTCGTCGGGTAGCTGCGGCGTAGCTCAGCGTCGGTTGTTCGGGAGCGGCGTTGACAAGAGCTTGTGGCTGCAGCGCCTTCTGAACTTCTTCCCGGACAATCACGGCGATTGAGGGCGAATCCAGGCTTGAAGCAGCAGGAAGAAGCTTCTTGATTTCCTCCCGCACGACGTCCCGGATGATGTCGCGGAGGTCCAGGCCGGTGCAGCTAGAAGTCGAGAAGGCAGCGACGCCGGGAAGTCGCTGGTAATGGGAGGCCCGTGCTTGAAGGGCCCGTTCGATGTTTGTGGCTTCCTAGACGAAATCTTCGACGGTGGCTGGGGGGTTGCGGACAAGGCCTCCGAAGATGGTCTCTTTCACCCCTCGCATCAGGAACCGCAGCTTCTTCTCGTCAGGAGCGTTTGGGTCGGCGCGGTTCATGAGGCGGAGAACGTCCTCGACGAAACTTGTGACGCTCTCGTTTGGCCCTTGGCTTCTTGCAAGAAGAAGTTCCTCGGCCCGCTGACGTCGCTGCTGGCTGGCAAACGTGCGTCGAAGTTCTGTCTGGAAGTCTTGCCACGACGAAATTGACGCTTCGTGGTTCTCGAACCAGGTCCGTGCAGTGCCTTCCAGAGCGAAGTAGACATTTTGCAGGCTCTGTTCAGGACCCCATCCGTTGAACCGTGCGACGCGTTCGTACTGGCCCAACCAGTCGTCCACATCTTCATGAAAATTGCCACTGCAATTCGGCGGCGTCCTTGGTGGGGTCTGGACGTAGACAATGGACGTCGGTGGCGTTCCGTCTGGCTGCGACGTGGTGTTCATCGTCGGCTTCGGTAGCTTCTTTGTCCTGTCCGGCAGTGGTCCAAGTTCCGGGGGTAGGCCGAGGTTGCGGCGACTTGTTCGAGTTTCAGGCTCCGCGTTGAGTGGTCTTCTCACCGGGCCTGGAATCGGGCTTGCACTGCGGGACCTGGGAGGGGAACGCTGCAGCGGCATGCGGTACCCAGCACCTCCACCAAAATGTCACGGGTGGTGACCAATAAACAAAAAATAAACGTTTAATGTGGCGAACTTGTGCCAAAAATAAAAAGGTACAAAAGATAATAACAGAGCGTCGCGGGCGTCGAAGTCGGCGTAGCAGCAGAGTCGAACGCTGGGGCGAGACTGACTCTGGCTTGCCACGCGGAGCCGCTTTTGTACACGCGTTGGCTTCTGGAGCATTCGAAGTAGAAGGTTCGACGTGTAGAACATTCTAACCTTCAATCAGCTGGACGTTTCTCGAATTCACCAGAACATCACATTACAGTGTCAACAAAAATGCGTAGCCGCGGCCAGGAATCGAACCCTGGCCCTTCGCGTGGGAGGCCAGCGCGATAACCGTTAGGCTACAGCCGCGCTGCCTACATGGCGCGCGGCAATATGTCGCATCCGTGAAACGTTCTGGCGTCACAAAAGTTTAGCAACACTCCGCGTTTCACGGGTGCAATTCTGAGTCCCGAGCCTTCAGTGTTACAAGTTCGCTTAGCAGCGCGTCTAGCCTGTTCAGTCAGACGCCTACCCTCACGACGCTCTGCGTCGGAAAATTTAACGCGTGGCGCGTGTACACTCGCAAGGATAAACCTGGTGACCTCTCGGCACCTTCTAACTCCCACTCCTCTACCACCTCGCCTCCTCGCCTAGCTTTCCTCCTCACCCCACCCCGGTTCACATGACCCCCTCCCCCCCCACCCCCCCCCCCCTCCGTTAACCAATCAGCGTCGAGCATTTTACTCCTCCTCTCCCACCCGTCAACCAATCAGTGACGAGCGTCGTGTCACGCATTTATCCAGGCTTCACTTTTGAGCTTTACGAAATACCGAACACACAACAAAAAAAAAGTTTAATGTAAAAAAAGAAAGAAAAAAAAGGGGATCACGTGTTTGGGTTTATTTCGCAGCGCCGTGTACGCTTGCTCTGCCCACTCCCGCATGTCTTCTATCTTTTTTTTTTAGCTTTACTTTTAGCGCGTCCGCGAGTCTGTAGACATGTGCGAAACATACAAATATAATTGTATGTTTCGCACATGTCTGCACACTGTCTTTTGTATGACGTATTAGCAGTGCGAGCGCGGCTCGAAATGAGCCTCGCCGTGAAACCCATCCAAAAGTAAATAACAAAAATATAGAAGGAACAAAACGATGCTAAACAAAAATAAATCAGTTGTCAACATTTTTATCCCATCAAGCATTAAATTAAAGTGAATTTTCCATTATATCGTTTAAAAGCAGGCCATAGATTTTTCGGTTTTAACCCCAACACACCGACAAACATATCAGTCGGAGTAAAAAATACAAATCATCGGTTAAAACCAAAAAATGCCGAAAACATCCGTTGGTCTCAAAAGACACCGAATGTGTAAAGAAAAAAAAAAGAGATATAACGTCCGTTGGTGTCACAAATACAAAATCGGTTCAATCCGAAGAACACCGAACTCCTTCCATGTCTGCTCCAGAAAGGACTGCTTTTGTTAAAACCCCTCTTAGACTTGAATTCTTAATTTCTTGCGTGTTTTCTTTCTCGTTTTTTTTTCTTTTTTTTTTTGTGTGTGCTGATTTTTTTGTGTTTTGTTTCGTAATTCATACGAGCTTTTTCTTTTTCCCAATAATTACCGTTTTTTTTTTGCATCAGTCCGAAGTGGTAAACCGAAATGCACCAAAATCTTAACAATATCAATAATAACAATAACAATAACCACCGCAAAACATCTGCCGATTTTAATTATAAATGAGCCTATAGGTATATTAACCTTCTAGAATGCTGTTTTACATCAATTATCCAGATGACATACACTTTGATAGACGCTATGGTGCGCCCCAACAGGCAGTGAATATGGCAAACATCAACACAGACACTGCTAAAACTAACTATGTGTATACACTGCGAAGCCTGGTAACGGAAGAACATCACTGAAAAATGGAACGGAACAGCCAGTATATTTTTTGCGAAACCAGTACGGGCTAGAACACCTGCGCCGCAAATTATTTACGCAGTTCACCTGTGCACTGTAGCCCAGTTGTTTTCGACACAGTGCGCGCTAAACCGTTTCGCTTTATACAGCTGAGCCACGTTTGCTGGAATGCGTTGAACAAAAGAACGAAGCGACATTTTCTGGAAAACCAAACTGCCCAAACCACCTGCGTGTGTTTGTTTTTGCCTCGGTCCTCTCTGGCGCGGTTCCACTACGGACTATACGTGATTAGAGCTCACTTTCCTACACGCAGTGAACACTAAATGTAGAGTGTGACTCTACGTGTTCGGGAAACAAGTCTTGTTCCTCCAGTACACCGCTGTCTGCAATCCTTTCAATAGGACCAAACGTACCAGGCCGCCAGAAGTCTCGCAACTCCGGTTTGGAACCCACTCCGCAGCACAATGGATTCAGACGTCCTGCCTGCGTTCGTCGGACATTGTTACGGAGGAGCGATGCTGATCATCCTCGGAACTTGGTATGCCTTCGGCATGTGGCGAGGTTACGTCGTCAGCCGACTCCGAAGACGTCCTTACCACGGGACCGCCTTCTTCACGCTGCGAGGTACCAGAAGGACAATCTGTGTCGACGGGCTGTACAAGATGGCGGCAGGTTGCTTCGGAACCGCCAATTATGCCTGGCTGGGAATAAGCAACGGCCATTTCACGGAGACGTCGAACGCCCAACACATGTCCCTCTTCGTGTTCTACGGCCTGAGTGGCATTCTGGACGTGCTGACTGCTAACAAGACTCCATTACCAGAAGGAAGTGACTATGCAGGTCTCATGATGGCCTTTTCTGTGCAAGCCTTGCTGTTCCACTTCCACCTCCACGGCCGGTCGCCGATGGATATCCTTGTGCATACACTTCTTGTGTACACCACTGTGGTGGCCGCGGTCTGCATCGGGATCGAAATGGCATTTCGCAGAAGTGCATTGGCTGCCTTGGGTCGGGCCTTCTTCACGATTCTGCAAGGGACATGGCTCGTCCAGATTGCCTTCATACTCTACAGTCCATGGTCTGGCGGTCACTCGTGGAAAGATGACCACCAGGATTTGATGCTGGCCACGGCTGTTTACACCTGGCACATGGCTGGGATAGTGGTGGCCCTTTCTTTCGTCGGAGCTCTTACAGGGCTATTCATGCGGGGTTCACCATTGCACAAGTGGACGGGAAGACGTAGAGATTCGTCTATCAATCTACACGACACTGGTACTGAATAAGCCTTTTATATCTAAACTACTAATATGATGGTCAGGGAAATTTGAATAACAACAGGGACTTTATTAACACGGACGTTTCGGGAAGAGTTTTTATTTGAAGGGTCTCTTCGAAACGTCTGTGTTAATAAAGTCTCTGTTGTTATTCAAATTTTTCTGAAGATCCTTAATTCACTGATGAAAAGTATTTTTAAGCAAGTTCATATAATACAATTAGAAAATGAATGTCCTATCTATTTCAAGAGGAGAAACAAGAGCTCCATTTTTAGTTTATTCAAAGTCCTGATTTTGCTCTAGAGCATTTCCAGCTTTGTTGATTATTGAATAAAGAGACAGAAACAAGTTTGCCGTATGTGATAAATCCCCCCTAAACACGATGTCGGACACCGACATCTGAGTATGTCAGTACTAATTGCTGTGAGGTCATTTGCCATAGCTTTGGTCAATTCATACCCTTGTTACACGGGCACATTTAACTGAAGTTACGCTAAGCCACAGATAGCGCACAATACTTGCGGACAACATTATGCGGCTATGCAGTCAAAGCTATGGGCGAACGTGCGCTCGAGCATCTTGAGCATCTATCGAAGCAGTGCGCTCGCGCTCTTCACTTCTTCTGATATAGCTGTCAGAGAGTATAGTGCGGTATCTGTGGTGCCGCGAAACAGCAGTTAAGTTGAGTTAACCGCGGTTAAGTGTGCCCGTGTAACAGGGGTATCAGACTCCAGACACACGTGCACATAATAAGAAAGTTCTATTTGCCCCGCATTTTCCTATGCTCTCGCAGTCGTGCGTATTTATTTTTTTTTTTTGTGCGAAGCAGAAAGTTACGTTATACCATAAGAGCGATTCTCTAGCCAAAAACTGAGTAGTTCAACAGTTCTGAAGCAAGTTCTAGAGTGTATGCAAACTATAGAATGAAATCGACGTCATATCACGTCCAGTTTTACTTTTTGTCTTACTATGAAAGCTTCTTAACTTGGATTCATTAAAACGAGTAAATTACGAACTGAGACACTGCATGGTGCTCTAAATTTAACACCTGACAGAAACTACGTTTCTCTATTGTTTTTCTAGCATGCGCGAGATATCGTTGCTTTGTTTTGTTGCATGCCAACAACGCATGCTTTCTATCAGCGAGCAAGCAATCTTTTGCACGCCAAGTCCCCCCGACAAGCGTACTGATCCATGCTTTAGCGGGCAGGTATATGTATCTGAAAGATGAAATAAACTATCATCATCATCATCATCATCAATATCATCATTATTATTATTATTATTATTATATTATTATTATTATTATATTATTATAAATGTATTATTATTATTATTATTATTATTATTATTATTATTATTATTATTATTATTATTATTATTATTATTATTATTATTATTATTCGTTCCCTCCGTACAACTATGTCCAATTTACATAAGGCCACCTATGGATATCTAAATGTTTTCAAATTTATGTAAATTGTTTCATATTATTTTCGCCTATTTACTGTCTTTTCGGTCTGGATCTGCTTTTATAAGCCAATAAAATTGTACTTTTTATATTATTTTTTTTCTACCGCCTGACCAAAAGACCGAGCGACATCTCACTCTTTGTTTTCTCTCTTTTCTAACACCGTTCGAGAGTGTCAAATACCTTTCATAAAATAGGTACGAGGTATAGCCATAATCTTCTGGCATCTTGCACAACTTCGCGACGAGTTCGTGCGACCGTTTTGAAAAGCTTTCCAAGATAATGGCGTTGAACCACAGAAACAAGCCGTGGCTTACTGCGATATTCGCGAACTACATTTCTTGCGCCGACGGACATCAGTGTAAACGTTTTTTTTTTTTTGTACACGCACAAAGCGAGACGGCTATTAGTGCGAACACGATTTCGGCACTTTATTGAATTTTACTTGGAATGGATCCTGACGGGCATCAAAATGTACCACTTAGGTTAGTACTTCGACTGAGTATTTCGCTACTATACTAGTTCCAACGGCAGTCCTTCCATACTGGCGAAAATAAAAAAAAAGACCGTAGATGCCTTGTTCACGTTAACAGTGTAGGGAAGTGTACATCACCCATTGCCATTGCATGATTTGAGAGCTCCACAGGAAGCGAGCCGACTAGAAGCAGGCTGACTAAAGGTATATGGAGTCCCTCGCGGAACGCCGACCGAATTGCTCCGGCGAAAAGTACGCGTCGTACAGAAAAAGAAATACTGTCAGGTTGGACCCTGCCAAAAAAGCTTATTTAAAATAATAATTAACGTTCGGTATATTTAGTTTATTACAGCGACAGCTCTTATACACCAACACGCGGCAGTGACGTCACGACACTGAGGTGGCGCTGTTGTTGGCACTGCGCATGCGTCGTGCCCATACCTGGTGTGGGCAAACGCTGGCTTGTTTGAGGACAGTGCGTCGGTCTATAGACGTCTGCAAGTACGGCCTCTGGGCGCCGCCATCTTGCTGCTAGTGCGGGTAGATCGTCTGATAGTCAAGTATTGCTGAGGCGTACCCACGGTTTCCAAACTGACGCCAATGCATGGATGGACGGAGGGATGGATGTTAATGGCTATACCCTGTGTAACGGGCGGTAGCTTGCACCACCTGTTACAAAGCGTTTTCCATCCACGGTGGCCAGACAGCTCTCCAAGCGCGGCTGCTTGCAAACGTCTGGAACTTCCAAGCTGCACTCGCAGTGTCGGCGTTTTGCAAGGCAGAAAACTCCGTTTCACGTGCCCGCTCACGTGACACCAAGGGAAATCAATAAGACATTAGAGAGTTTTAAGGCCGGTTCTCACATGCAGCGAAGCGCTCATGTAGCGCTCCTCACGTGTCGTCGGCTACTTATCCTCTGCCATGAGCAACAGTTTTGACGGTGCGATGCAAAGCTGGTGAACGCTGCCGTCAGCACGCGCTTAGCGCGAGGTTAGCGCTATGCTTGTAGCGCTCCGCTGCATGTGTGAACGGGCCTTTAGTAGATCGTGTTTTCAGGCCACGCTAATCGTAGGGGGAGCACGCGCTGCCACTTCGATGCATGCTCTGAAGCGCGCGCTCGTAGCGGTAGCGGGCCTTTGAAAACGATCTTCTAAAACTTCCTATTAATAGACAGTTTTAGTATAGCGTTGCTGGCTCTTGCGTACGTAATACGCAATAGTATAGCGTACGCTAAAAATGACCTGCTCGGGCCGAATTTAGCTGTGCGTTACGTTTTCGAGTGAACACCGCGCATGATCTTGGTTAGATTTGCTAGAGCTGCAGAATTCCGCGCGCTTATAGCCCAACCATGCTCCTGGAAAGAAATACTGAAAATGAAAACGTGTCCAATCATTTTATTTCAAATTAAACCAAGCCGCAGCTGCCTCGTCAAGCGTGCTTTTCTGCGGGGTACAGAGGCTACGAGTAAAGGCCGGTTCAGACACTTGCATTTGAGTGCGTTTGACTGCATGCGTTGCATCGAGAACCGAAAGCGAGTCACCGGCACATCTGTGCTTCGTATGAAGCGTGCAATCCAATTCAAAGAATCATAACAGGCTTGAGCTGAGTTAGTTGGTTGATAGTTTACTTAAGGCCAGCTGAACTAGAAAAAACATACACATAAAGAAAAGACCATTCACGCCGCATAAAGAAAAGACCATTCAACCAGCGGCGTGAATGGTCTTTTCTTTATGTGTATGTTTTTTCTAGTTCAGCTGGCCTTAAGCAAACAAAGAATCATCTTAGCACACAATATAAGTAGCAGGGATGTCCTGGTTTCTCGCTGCCGCAACGCGGTCAAACGCAGTCAAACGCAACTGTCTGAACCAGGCTTAAGGTGCAACCCCACCCTTGGTTAGTGTGATTCTGAACCAACAGATGGCGGTGGGATCGCCTTCCAAGCCTGTTCATCAATCCGAAAAATTGTGTGTGGTGGCGCTTCGATACAGTGGGATATTTTTCTATATCCTGAATTTGACATCCCTGGTCCCTTGCTTGTTTTTCTCTGCACGAGCTTTCTTTGGAACGCGCACGTCTGCGCCAGTTCTCGTGCAAGGGTGCTACGCTCCGAGCTCACGTCTTCAGCAAGTGAGGGCAGAACAAAACGCGGAAATCGTCCTGAGCCAAATGGCGAGACACATGCACAACCAAACCACCGACGCGTTGTAATATATCAAATTTCCTGTGCGCCGTTACCGGAGATTTCAGAGGCCAATTACACATATATCAATATGATCAGATTTATGTTGACACGAATGAAGGTGACAAGAGGACGAATAGTGAACTGAAAAATAAAGGCTTAATCGGCGAACTTGTGCCAACCAAAGAAAGTAAGGAAAGAGCGTCGAGGTAGCCGAAAAGCAGGCGGCGATTCGGCAGCGTGACAGAGAGCGAGAGCGAGAGTGACTCGACGAGGTCGCCGGCAGCTACTTATTTACAATGCGTCACCACCTCGAAAGTTCGGGAAAGAAGGTTCGAGCGTCGCGCGCTCGGGGCGAGGATGAACTGGCACTTTCGAGGACAAGAAAACAGGGCGAAAGTTACGCCTGGTGAAAGAATGAACGCAAATCTTCTAGAAGTCCGTGACTGAGCGTTGCTTTCTCGGCTCGGCGGGCGGCAATATGACGGGCCGGTGCTTTTGTCGAGCATGTGTTTGGCTCTTTGTGGATTTCCAGGAAAACGAGCTGACGGAATATACTTGAGTGTCCAAAATTCTAGCCTAAGGAATGAATCACCTAAAAATAAAAAAATAAACTATTTTTGGGTGGTTAGGTGTTTCATATAGGTACCTGGCTGTTCATTTTGACCAAAACCACGAGACTGGAAAACACAAAAAAATGACACTCAGGTTTAGATGTTGAGTTTGGTAAACCCAAATTAGGGCTGGTGCGGGAGTCATAATAAAAAAAAAAAAAATTCCGAGGTTAAAAATTAACTCACAGCAATAAATGATAATAATTAATTATCATTCATTCGTTATTATAATAATTAACGAATTCAGTGATAAATGCAATGACTGGCCAG